TGATAAGACAAAAACAAAAGTTTCTGTTCAAGAAACTAAAGTGGAAAACAATGTGATTGTAGAGAAAGTAGTTAAACAAAATGTTTTATCAGCAAAAGAAAATAAATCAACCCTTATGAAACCAACAACACAACCTGTTGTAGTGAAAGAGAAGAATAAGCCTCATATCCTAACTGCAACATCTAAGGAGAAAGACTGTAGTGTTGCACCAATCACTTCCACTCTGCCACCCCTGCCTCTTCCTCCTGTGCTGCCTGAAGATAAAGATACAGATTGGTGAGTTGTGAAATAATTTTAAAGATGCAATGTCAACCTGCAAATGCTAGACAGGTTTAATGAAATGTAAATACATTTTGTTATTTTTACATTAATTTCTAATCTCACATATGCTTTAAAAAGTGTTTGTAGCCAAAACCTTCACCAGTCCATTTTGATGGCTACTTAGTAATGTATATAAAGTACATGGATTAGTATTGTTCTTCACTGTTTATTACATTTTACAAAATGTCTAGATTTTAACTTTTTCCCTTATGTTTACATAAGTATGATATTGGAACAATATATTAGACCTGATACTTTGTTTTAATTATAAACTTGTCATTTATACTGGCATAAAAAGTCTTTTTATTTTGCTATAGTTTGCAAGGTAACATTTCAGTAAAAGCAGTAAAAAAAGAAGTGGAAAAGAAATTATGCCATTTGCTTGCAGACTTGCCATTGCCACCTGAGTTTCCTGGAAGAGATGATATATCTCAAAGCCCCGAAGAGAAAAAGATTCTAGTGCAATCACATCATAAAAAGAGACCAAAGTATGTGCATTTATTTTCTTATATAGATCATAATAAATATAAAATACAAAGTCATTGTATATTAGGCAATTGATAACTGATTCACTATAGAATTTTATTGTAAGATTGCTTTTAGTATTTTGTGCATGAACAAGTAGAAGAGTTAGATTTTAAATTATTAATTGACTAGTATGTTCTTCAGTAGATAAATTCTCTGTAATTTTCTCATTTTTGTTTTGCATCCAGAATTATAGTATTTGGGTAGAAATATACCAATCCATAGATATATCATAATGTAGTGTTTTGAATGCTGTGGTAAAATAGGATTATTTCATTTTTGTTCTCTGTCTTGTATGTTAATTGCAGGTTGTGAAATAGAGTAATTTGAGAAAATTTAAGCAAATAATTAAAAAAAATGCATTTAAATGTTTCTGATTGGTATTCCAGATCATTCAATTTCCCTATTTTACTAGTAAAAAAACCTGCTTTATTTTGTTTGAACTATAGAAATAGGCAATCTTCACAGTATACTGTAATCTGCTTTTGAAAAATCCATCCATTGAAAAAAATGTTTAATGGGAAACATGAAACCAAAGAAGCTACTAGTGATGAAAATGGCTGCGTAAGATTTGTAGTAGAACACTACAAGAAGGAGGATATAAAATATATAAAAATGCTAATGTGTGACTGATGTTTTTAAAAATAATTTAATATGTAATGTCATATTTACAGAGAGAAATGTACAGAGAAGGACATTTTTAGACAAAAATGTAAACATATTCTTGTGGAACAAAATCTTATTAATTGTTTGGTTAGGATATGTNGGCTCTTTTTTCAGTTCTGTTGAAATAAATTCTTCCAGATTTTTTGGACTTAAATATTTTACATATTTTCCTAATACGTGTTTCTTGTTAACAAATCACATTGTTTTAAATTTTTGATTTTTGTTTTCTGTTTTGAGGATATTTTTTACACTGAGCATTTATAATTCATGCCAAGGTTTTTAAAGAGTCAATACCTATCGATCTAACTTGAAATACTTTTTATGTCTTATATCTAATGTCAGGTTTCCTTTGCAGTTGTCATTTTCATTTATATTTCCTCCAGTTCTAAAGATTTCCAAAATATTTCTTGCTTTTTACACAGAGATCAAACCTAATCTCTGTTGTTTAAAAGTAAAAAAAAACTTTTAATTTATCCCATCTAAATCAAGCTTTGTTCTGTTTAGCTTTGACTGTTCAAACTCTCAAACGCTGTTCTTATGCCTAGTTTTCTAATTGGATACCAAAATGCAGATTTAATTTTAAACTTGATTATTTTAAAATAAGCATACTATATTTTTGCAATTTAAATTGAAGACTGAATATTTTAAAAATCTGTTACAGAATATTTGTATAGATACATCAAAAATTTTACAGCTGTTATTGTAGATGACTTTTTATATTTTAATGATTAGGGTTAAGTTTTCAAAATAGTTTGCTTTCTAAATTAGAAATTAAATCTTTCAATAACAAATCATTTAAAAGCTTTCAATTTTTTGGATGAAAGCTTTGTGTGATATCCTGAACTAATAATGCAGATTTACGCACTTAAAATTTGCTGGAAGTATTCTTAAATGTAAACACACATTTAAAATTTGTTAGATGACATAGTGATCTTTTGCTGTTTTTTTTATTTAAAAAAAGCCAGCTAACAATTAAAACATGTTAATGGAGTAGTTATAAAAGTGTTCATTGTAATTTACAAACATAACAATATTTACTCACTAAAACTTTATTTTTATAAGCAGAAAATCAGCAAAATCCAGAAGCAGAAGTCCTTACTCTTCAAGACATTCAAGATCTCGTAGTAGACACAGATTTTCAAGATCCAGAAGTCGGCAGTCCAGTATTTCTCCCAGTACTCTGACTCTAAAAAGCAGCCTGGGAGCTGAGCTGAACAAGAACAAAAAAGCCAGGGCAGCAGAGGCAGCTAAAGCCAATGCAAAAGTTTCCAACACTTGTTCCCTTACAAAGGGAAGTGATATAGGAATTGCTGTACAAGTGAATAATGTAAAGGAAGTAAAAAAGATAAAAATAGAAAATATGTCTTCCCCTTCAAATAGTTCAACCTTGAAAAATGATAAGACAAAAACAAAAGTTTCTGTTCAAGAAACTAAAGTGGAAAACAATGTGATTGTAGAGAAAGTAGTTAAACAAAATGTTTTATCAG